TGTGTGTGTGTGTGTGTGTGTGTGTGTGTGTGTGTGTGTGTGTGTGCGCGCGCGCGCTTTAAATCATCTCTAAGTCACATGGTGCCTAATACAAAGTGACTGCTCTATAATTACTTGTTATATTGCATTGTCTAGGGAATAATGACAACCTCCTCCCAAGAAAAATAGTTTGTACATGTTCAGTTACAGGCACCTTCCCTCCCACAAGGTATTTTCCATTCATATATGTGAAGACTACGTACAGGAAGAGCCAACTGTGCATAAAATTTCTTGCATTTGTCAATGTTTTGATTCTTGGTGCATTTTTTACTGTTAATTTTTAATTAATATTTTAATAGAGTAGTTAAACGAGTACAACTTTAAAGATAGAAACTATCTAAATCCTAAAAATAAGATAGTATTTGACATCATAGTAGCAAAGACAAAAGTGAGTGTAACATATTAATATGTAGACAAAAACTTGGGGGGAAAAAGCAATATTTTCTGTACTTTTTGTTTTTGTTATTTTGAGGCAGACTATCATACAGTGTAACTCTGGGTGGCCAGGAATTCGCTTACATAAATGAGGCTGGCCTCTTGTGAGGACACTCCTTGCCCCTGGCTCTGAGTGAAGAAGCAATCTTTCTTTCAGTGTTCTCTGGCTGTTGTAATGATCAAACATTGGTTATACTTTAAAAGAATTTTTTTACAATTACGCTCCTACATTGAGTTGTTATTTAGTTCTACCTTCATTGTGTTTGAAATTTACCTTAGATGTGAGTCCCATTTTTTTGTTTGTTTTTGTGTATCAATCGAAAGTAGAATTCTCTAGGAAAGTTTGATTGTAGTCCCATAAGAGCAGAGTGGCTAATGGCACAAGGTTTCTGTCCAGCTACCAACTTTAAGGATCAGAAACCAACAACAGATGACATTCCTAGTGTCTTAACATAGCTGTGCATGAAAGCCTAGAGTTCTTGTCACTGACTAGACAGAAAACTAGGAAAGACTAAAAAGATGTTACTACTTCTAATTCAACACGTCTAGTTGAGCAGTTACAGAGCTTAGAATAGTCAACTCACTTAACTTTTCAGATACATGATAAACCTATTTGAAAACTTAGTATATAGAGCCTTTCTGTCATCAAGGAAATTCATGCTGCATTTCACAATTGCATTTTAACATCATTCACTGCTGATAGAAAATATGGTTACTGATAGAAAATATGGTTACATTATTACAGAATATTCTTCAGTTTACCATTTTTAGGTTGTCTAATCTTATCTCCCTCTCCTCTTTCTCTCTCACAGCTCTGGCTCTTCCAGCAAACCAGCAGGAGCTGATTCCACTCACAAAGTCCCAGTAGTCATGTTGGAGCCAATCCGAATAAAACAAGAAAACAGTGGACCACCTGAAAATTACGATTTTCCTGTTGTTATAGTAAAACAAGAATCAGATGAAGAATCTAGACCTCAAAATGTAATTATATCAGTGCTTGCAGTACTAATCCTATTTAAGAGGCAAGAAAAGGATAGTTCTACTCCAACACCCACAGAATAGACTACAGTAAGAGAACAGAAGCTCCGCAGGCATTTGTGGAGGGGAGAAAACTATTTAGACAGGAGTCAAAAGGATCTTACCCCCATAGGGACTGGTATAGTGATGGATACCATGAAAATTAAGCAAACTGGGGGAACTCTACAGTAACAATGGAGATAGACTGGGTCCAGTGGTGTGTACTTACACTTCCATCTATAAGGGCGGAGGCAGAGTTTCAAGCTACATTTAGAAAAAGAGGAAGAAGAAGGAAAGATGGAGACAGTAGAATAAGCTAAACTTTTTTTAAAATTAGATTTATTTGTTTATATGCTTGTGTGTCCACCGCATGTGAGTCTGATGTCTGTACAGGTCCATACTAGGTATTCGGTCCTCCGGAACTGGAGTTACAGCTTATTGTGAGCCTCCATGTGCAAAGTGGGAACTGAATCCAGGTTCTTTGTGAGAATAAAACTGCCCTTAACCACTGAGTCAGCTCTCCAGACACTGAAGTGAGAACATCTTAAATGACATTTTGACTGTGTGTTGGAGAAGGGGAGGGGGTCATGCGGAAAGTCAGGGGGCAACTTCCTGGAATCGAGTCTCTCCTACTGTGGACACTGACAACCTTTTCCCACTGAACCAACATGCTGACCTGGAAGAAACTATATTTGGGAATAATTAACTCCAAAGAATGTTTATTTTTAATTATATCTACATTTGTTGCTTTTAAATTTCAGAAACAAAAACATTTTTAAAGATTTTATTTATATAATACAGTGTTCTGCCTGCATGTGCACTTGCATGCCAGAAGGCACAAGATCTCATTACAGATGGTTGTGAGCCATCATGTGTTTGCTGGGAATTGAACTCAGGACCTCTGAAAGAACAGGCAGTGTTCTTAACCTCTGAGCCATCTCTCCAGTCCCCAGAAACAAAATTTAAAGAGGATAACAGCTTCTGATTTTAATTAGGACTTTTCGTCATCCTGGGGTCAAACACAGAATTTAGATTCATTTCAGCAGAATAATATTTGTGTATGTCTTAGTTAGGGTTTCTGTTGCAGTGATGAAACATGATGACCAAAAGCAACTTGAAGAGGAAAATGTTTATTTAGTTTATTCTTCCACATCACTGGGTATCATCAGAGGAAATCAGAGCAGGAGTCTGGAAGCAGGAACTGATGCAGAGGCCATGGAGGGGTGGGTGCTACTTACTAGCTTGCTCCACATGGCTTGCTCAGTCAGCTTTCTTATAGAACCCAGGACTACCAGCCCAGGAATGGCATTGCCCCACAATGGGCTGGGTCCTCACCCATCAATTACTAATTTAAAAAATGCACTACAGGGTTTGCCTACAACCCGTTGTTATGGAGGCAAATTCCAAATTGAGGTTCCCTCCTCTCTGATGACTCCAGCTTCTGTCTGGTCGGCATAAAACTAGCCAGCACAGTAGCTGAAGTGTAATTTGAATTAGTAGTTAAGATAAACCATCTTCACAGCTCATGGGATTGACTTCCACACTGCCTACTTAGTCTCTAATCATTGTGACCATTGGGAAATTAAAGGGTCACTTTCAAAACATGCATGTATACATAAATAATGTTGTTCTCTCTTTGGTTGCAGACTAACTATCCAAGAAGCATACTTACTTCCCTCCTCTTAAACAGTAATCAGAGCTCTGCTTCTGAGGAAACTGTGTTAAGATCTGATGCCCCTGATAGCACAGGAGATCAGCCTGGACTCCATCAGGAAAATTCCTCAAATGGAAAGTCTGAGTGGATGGATGCCTCGCAGAAGTCCCCTGTGCATGTTGGAGAGACAAGGAAGGAGGATGACCCCAACGAAGACTGGTGTGCAGTTTGCCAAAATGGTGGGGAACTTCTATGCTGTGAAAAATGTCCTAAAGTTTTCCATCTTACTTGTCATGTGCCCACACTGACACATTTTCCAAGGTAAAGCAGTACTTCTCTCTGAAATATAACCCACGGGGTTAGTAGTATGGCATAGTGCTACTAGAGTTTCTTGGCTAGCATTCACGTGGCTCAGGGGCTAGTCCCCACTACTTCAAGGAAACAGAAAAGGTAGTAGCATTTTAGGAGGATGTGGATCCAACTGGGAAGGAATGACATGAAAGTGGAAGGGAGGGAAAGAGGGTAAGGTATAGAAAGAATATTTTAATGTAATTACTGTAAGGAACTATTGATGTTCTTAATAACACATAATGTTTTAAATTCCATTTGGCACAAATACATACTCCAAAGTCTGTAATACTGATGTACTGTTTCCTGTTCCCTGCTTCCTAGTCTTTGTGCTTCTCAGAAAGCTCTTCTGTTGTGATCAACAGTAATAGGCCCTAGCTGAGCTCTGATGGTACATACCTGTAACCAAGCATGGAGGAAATAGAAGGAGGGTCATAAGTCTGAAGCTCAGTCAGACATTAATATTATTAACTTCTTAGACATTTGCATCAAATTTCTGCTACTACCTCTCCATACTGCTTTGTACCTAGCAGTATGTGATAAATAGGCAGAGAATAAAACCCATTCCATAAAGAAACCTGTCATAGATGACCTCTGGATGCTGGGAAGGGTGGTGGTGAAGAGAGAGACCCTGACATGCTCAAAATTCAAAGGTACGTTATCCCAACAGTGGAGAATGGATTTGTACTTTCTGCCGAGACTTATCTAAGCCAGAAGTTGAATATGATTGTGATACTCCCAGTCACAACTCAGATAAAAGGAAAGCTGAAGGCCTTACTAAATTAACGCCAATAGATAAAAGGGTAAGTTTTTGAGCAAGTTTTTGTTAAATGCATTGAATTTATACTGAATTCTTTCTTCTTTAAGTCTCTTTCTCCCTTTTCCCTCTTTTCCTTTATACACAGAAGAATCAGTAAAAGCTATAGTGAGTGTGTTGTGCCAGATTCACGAGATCCCAAAACACCACCAGGAGTCAAATCCATTGTAAAACATGAGGATCTTTTTATTATAAGCTAGCTCAGGCTCATACCCTCACCGCCAGAGCAATTGAGAGCAGAGAGCCTCGAAAAGAGTCCAGTCCTTCCCAGCATGCCCAAAGCAGGGGGATTCCTGCCTGGCAAGTGTCTGTTGGTTGAAACACAAAAGGGGATGTTGCATTTTGAATTCATTGGCTCTCAGAAGGCCCTTAAACCATTAATGGTCTGGCTTCCCTTGTTTGGCTGTCCTAGGGGAGAGGGGCTGGTTTCCTAGCAACTGTATCTCTAGTGGGTAGGAAAAGAATGCAGTAAAGCTAGTTCTCTCCCTGCAGGTGGCTAGACATGTCTCCACCTGTCTGGCATTTGTTCAGGCTTATGCTTTAAACTTTAATTCAATAAACCAAAAAACGAATTTTTAATTACTTAGTCTCTCATTCCCCACTCCCCATGGTCATTTGAAAACCCAATCTTGGGTCTTCCAGATATGACCCCTGGTGTCTTCCAGATTTACTTTTCCATAACGGGATCTGAGTACCATTACTCTTTCACTCCCAAGCGTTCCTTCATGAAAGCCATCAAGCAATTAAAATACAAGGCCCAAAGGTAAAAATCAAAATTAGTGGGGGGGGTCAGGTCCCCAAGATAATAGCTGATGTCAGGGGAACCCCTTTTGACCTAGCATTTCAGCCTGTTAGGTAGGATTTTGGGCAAAGGTCTCTTCTTCTGAAACTGCTTCAAGTGCTAGCAATAGGACCATGGGCATCAAGGGCTAGGAAGGCTGAAATGCCAGCCAAAGGCTGGGCAATGAGGCACTACCTAATTAGCGATCCATTTGAAGAGACATGGAGCCATTACTTTGGCTGGACTGGTTTACTTCAACTTCCAGCAAGTCCAGATTTCAGCTTGCAGTCCATAGCTGACCCCTGAATAGAGTCAACCAAGGTGAAAATCTGCTAAGACAAATTAAGACTAGAGATAGAAGTTAAAATTTGTCTAGTAATTAGGGAAAGTGAGGAATCCCAAGACCAAGGGAAAAACTTTTCTGGGGTCCGTTTGAGCTGTGCCAGATCCAGGTCTTCTGACTTTTTGGTTTCCTGAAACTCATATTAGCATCACCATTGTATTGAGATCCATACTTTAGAAAAAGCAGTTAACAGTAGGAGTAGACTCATGCCATTAAGACCTGGTAAGTGCTATGGCTTTGGGGTCAGATTTACACATTAGACAGATGTTTTTAGCATGATGAGATGCACCTTTAAGTCTATCTCCAGAAGACAACCAAAAGGAAATTAAAAGTTTAAGCCTGTGACTGGTTAATAAGCAGTCAGTGCTCCATCAACTTATCAGAACTCTATTGATCAATGTTGTAACTCTGAACTTCTGAAGTCTTATAACAACATAAGCACAACTATAGCAAAGAGGAGGGAGAAATCTGAAATATCTCCCATTTTCTATATGCCTTAAATTACTTACTTACATCATTATAACTTATATTCACATACTTTAAAACACCTACTTAGGGGATCGAGAGATGGCTCAGTGGTTAAGAGCGTTGTCTGCTCTTCCAGAGGTCCTAAGTTCAATTCCCAGCAACCACATGGTGGCTTACAACCATCTATACTTGTATCTGATGCCCTCTTCTGGAATGCAGGCACACATGCAGGTAGAACACTCAAATAAATAAAATAAAATAAAAACGCCTACTTAGACCCTCCAATCTTCCTTGCATTTACCAACTTTGAAACATCTTCCTAGACCCTTAACATTTTAGATCCTCATAACCTAAACTTTTATATCCTCAGACCTTACATAAACTTTACATCTTTCTATCTAGTTATTCACCGTAAGACATAGGCAACTCTCATGAAGCCTGTGAACAAGGCAAACCTGTGTGCCTTTCTAAATAATAGATCTAGTACCTAGTAGTTCTAACTAGCTAATGAATTGACCAATGAACTAACAGTGGGTCTAATTGTCTGCTCTTTAACTGCAAAGCTACCATTTGCTTAGCTTAACCATCAATGTGATCAGAGACCTAAGAAGGAATTATAAGCTAAACAAATGTACCACTCTATGTACCAATCAAAATGACAAAGATGACTAGTCAGTCCACTACCTACGCAGTTGTTTCTGGCTCCTGTGTCTCATGGCATCATGAGCAGAGGCAGTGTGGTCATCAGGCACAGAAGGTGAGGGACTGTTTCTATGGAGGAAAAAAAAAGAACATGGGAGATGAACCTCATCTCGCATTCAGCAATGTGAAACAATGACTCTACAGGTATTCACAGCTTTGTCTACAGTTTAGGCTGGGCCCTAGCAGTGGACCAGTTGGGGCAGTCTTGACCAATGGTTAGCATACCACAATCCAGAGTCACATTGTGCTCAAATCTTCTCGGAGACCTTGGGGAGCTTCTGCTAGAATTTTGGGACTCATAATAATAATAATAATAATAATAATAATAATAATAATAATAATAAT